ATAGAAAATAATCTTGAGGGGAAGTGATTCACAAAGAAAAAAAATTGAAGACCATAGAGGCAACTAGCATCAAAGAAGAAACCAGAATAGTAGGATTCCAGCTAACTGAAGTAGCAGCAGAGCACAAATCCAATTTCTTTCTTCTACTTCACTGTTCAGAGTGTGTGTGTTATGGGGGGAGGAAAAAGAGAGAAGTCTGTCAGTCAGTCAACAGTTAAGTGAGCCCACTCTGGATAGATGCTACTGAGGAGAGGAATGCAGTGTTAGGGTATCGTCAACTGCTACCAAGGAGGTAACAATCTGTTTGGGGAATTTATGTGTATACGAATAATACAATCTGAGGCAGACTCTGAAACAGTCTTCACGAAGTTCTTTGGGAGGCCAGGAGAAGAGATGTTTCTACCTAGAGTCATCAGAAGGATTCAGGGAGAAGCTAAGATATGAGCTGGACCCCAAAGAAGGGTAGAACGTTGAGGCAGCCCAGGTTGGGTGGGCATATTTTGAAAAGGGAGATGAGATTCAGGAGGTGGTGAATATGCCAGTTTGGCTGGTAAAGTTCCCTGGGTGTAGAGGGATGACAAGTCATAATAGATAAGTTGTGATTGGGTCATGATATGTCTGATCAATCCATAGAGAGATGAAGTTCTGATTAAAATGAAAAATAATCTCCTGTGTAGCCAATCAGGATCAGCTCTCATGTTCTGTATCTCTGCTCTCTTACTGATGAGCATTTTTCTGATTCCTTTGTATCTGCATGCTTAGAGAAGGGAGCCTTTTATATTTAAAGGTGCTAAATCTTGGAAAATGTCAGGGTTTCTCCCAAATTGAATTCAACTGTGAAGTTTAACTATGGCGCAAACATCATATAAATTTAAAACACTAAATAAACCTGTCTTCGTGAGGGCAGATTAAGCCTTCTCCCTTTGTAATGCTCCATTTCAGGTTGGCAAAATAATCAAAGAAGCTGCTGGAAAAAGCAATCTGAAGAGGGTGACCCTGGAGCTTGGCGGGAAGAGCCCTTGCATTGTGTTTGCTGATGGGGACTGTGAGTATGAGCCACTTTAACTTTTCACCCTTCGTCCTTTCTGGTGTCTGATAATGCCATTCAGTGAACCTAAATTTTACAAAAGGATTTGCTTCTAACATCAAAGTGTAGGGAATTAATCAGAGTCCAGAATTACTCTTGAACATTTCTTAAATCATCCTAAACTTGTAAAACATAGGTAAGTTTAATACAAACACAATTTCTTCCTGGTTTGGAATAGATTGCAATTTCCTCACATAGATGCTGGATAACGTAAACGTTTGGCATTTAGGGGCCACGGTATGGATAAAATTTAATTATTAATGTCATATTATGTGTAGTGAGATAACCTGGAGACATGTTAGACTGAGACCAAATGGGGAGACAGCAGTTTTCCATTTGCCATCTCCCTTCTCTCTGTGTCATATGCTCATTAAACGAAATGTCCGAAAGAAAATCACACCTACTATTTAAATAAATCCTTTTTTTTTTTCCCTAGCAAGTATAGTTGAGTTTACATACAAAATCTACAATTATTATGAGACTCTATTATATTCAGGGTTCATTCTGATTATATTACTAAGTAGAATCCCCAAATGACTTCATAAATATTAGTTAATTAGCAGAAGTCGATGTTCAACTCTTCCTTTCACAGTTCCACTGTTTATTTAAGGCCGTAAACACAAATGCTTCATGGAATTGGCCTATGTTGCTATTGTGATCTTAACTGAAGTTTTTTGGAACATACTACCTTATTAAACAGTCTATAAATATGACAAGATTCCCAATTTTTCTAAAGTTTTCTGTAAACCACTCCCACTACAACTTAAGCAGGTGTGATTAGTTTACAAAATAAATAAAAACAACACCCAGTTGCTATAATGTTGAGTTGAATCTTCAGCATGTAG